CAGAGTAGCACTTTGTTGTGTATAAATACCATACGTAGGAAGGATTGATGGAAAGATAGCTTCTGTCTAAAAGACAGAGGGGTGACAGAGCGGAAATAGATGCTACTCCCGTCATGCCAGATGTCAGACATGCTGAGTTTGTCTAAGGAACAGCAGAGATTGAGAGTAAGAAAATGTATTGAGGAATAAGAATGGAAGATAAGAATTAGGAATAAGAATGGCTCCTGGGAGATAGGAGGGGTCCCGAATGGGTTGCCGGTGAGCCCACTTCTCAAAGGAAGTTTTATAGTGCAAAGTCGTGAGGGGTGGGTACGATGGGGTAAAAACTAATCAACCAATAATAAGTATAGTCACTTATGTAACATTGACCCAATAGTAACAAGGGCATATGGATGACTTCATTCACCTTGGTCAATAAGCCGGCCTTAGTCTCAATTGTCTCGGTCTCAGTGCGGGGTCGGGGAGGACTGCCACCCCAGTAATGGTCTACCTCCACGAGAAAGCCAGAAAGGATGGTGCCAATAATCTCAAGCTTCTGTTCACTCCTCAGGGAAGTGTGCAAAGCTGGCCATTGTGACTTTAATCCTCTTCAGATGTGACTCCAGCCACACCTGCAATGTGTTCTCACCCTCTGCACTGACTTAGAGGACTGCCTACAATATTTCTACCCAACTTGTCTATATCAGGGAATGGAAAGTGGGTTGCCTGCCCACCCCACTTCTCAAAGGTGTTTTATTGAGCAACGACACGAGGTAAGGCAGGTGAAGGATGGGACAAAACTGCAGCCAACTAAGAAGTTTACACATATAACCCCTTAGGTAGTATTGATACAATGGGAAATCAGGAAGTGGGACAAAAGTATGATCAACCAATAACATCACAGCAAGTATAGTCACGTAGGTGATATTGATTAAAGGGGGATCAAATGGGGAAGCAAGTCATGTAGCAAGAGTACATGGAACAGATAAGGAATGGGCCAGGGAGGATTTGGTCTCCACACAAGGTGACTGATACTTGTGTAGAATATCCATCACTGCTGTTCATCCCCAGGGGAGTTATGTGGGTGTAGTTGTTCTTTTTTGAATCTTGGCCTTCAGTACATGAGCCATAGGCTTCAAGAGGGCCCAGACCTACCACGTGCCTTGTAATACTTTCTAACTAGCTTAGTGGTCTACAGTAGCATAGCTGGGTCCTGTGGCAGCTCTGTTTTTAGTCTTTTGAGGAACCTCCCTACTGATTTCCATAGTGGCTGTACTAGTTTACAATCCTACCAGCCGTGGAGAAGGGCTGTTCTTCCCCCACATCCTGGCTAGCATTTACTGATTTTTTTTTTATTGAGTTTATTGGTACATTTAGGGATACAGTACAGTTACATTCATTGTTGGGATCATGTACCTTTACATGGCAAGTCTTGATTCTCATTTTTTCCCCTTACCTCTGCCCTCCCTTCACCCCCTCCTCCCCTCCCCATCTACAAACACTTTATTTTCATCTTTTCATTCTCTCACATTTTTTTCTTTTCCCTTTTTGTTCTTCCCCTACGTATCACACCTTCCCTACACCTTTAGCTCCTTTCCTCCCATTTCTAAATAGCATTTACTGATTTTTGATTCTTTTTTTTTTTTTTGTACGGGGGATCAAACTCAGGACCTTGCACTTGCGAGGCAGGCAGCGGCGTCACCGAGCTAAATCCCTATCTGTTTTTGATTCTTGGTAAGAGCCACTCTGCCCAGGGTGAGATGAAAGTCTGAAGGTAGTTTTGATTTGCATTTCCCTAATGGCTAACGATGTTGAACATTTTTCCTTGTCTTGATTGACCATTTGTACTTTTGAGAAGTGCGTGTCCAACTCTTTTGCCCTTTTATTGATTGGGAAGGTTTTGGGGATGCTGTTGGAAGAATAGCTGGCAGTTTTCCCATTCTGTGGCTTGTCTCTTCACCCTCCTGGTTATTTCTCTTGCTGTGCAGAAGTTTTCAATGTGCTGTGGTTCCATTTGTGGCTATTATTACCTGTGTGGTTAGAGTCCTTTTCAGGAAGTCTTTGCCCATGACTATGACTTCAAGTGTTTCCCTTGTGTTTCCATTGAGCAGTTTCAGAGTTTTAGGTCTGATACCTGTTATCCATTTTCAATCTATCTTTTTTAGCAAACCATTTATTGGTACATTTTAGATTATATATAATGATAACATTCATCATAGTTGAATTGATTTTTTGTGTGTGAGACAGGGTCTCACTATGTAGATAAGGGTGTCCTTGAACTCATTATGTAGCCCAGGCTGGCCTCAGACTTGCAGTGATTCTCCTGCCTCTGCCTCCCAAACGCTGGCATTACAGGTGTGCACCACCATGCCCTGCAGTTGAATTCATTTTTACTGAGGGTGAGAGATAGGGGTCTAGTGTCAGACTTCTGCAACTGGATTTCCAGTTTCGAGGCACCATGAGTTTTCTGTCTTTCTCCAGTGTGTAAGTTTGGCTCCTTTGATCAGAATCAGGTGGCTGTAATTTCGTGGGTTTGTTTCTGTGTCCTCTGTTCTGTCCCATTGCTCTGTGTGTCTGTTCTTGTGCCATTGTGTGGCTGTTTATCATTATGGCTTTGTAGTATAATTTGAAATCAGGTATTGATTCCTCTTACTCTTAGGATTTCTTTGGCTATCCTGTGTCTTTTGTGTTCCCATAAGAATTGTAGCATTGTTTTTTTTTGTAGTCTATGAAGAATGTCATTGATATTTTCATGGGGATTGCATTGACTCTGTAGATTGCTTTTGGTACTGTGGCCATTCTATCAGTTCAACCAGTCCATGAGCTATTGTGAAAGGAGTTATCTTCCTTTTTTCTGTCTCAGATACTTTGTTATTGGTGTATAGAAGATCTATTTATTTATTAAATGTTGACTTTGTGTCCTGCTACTTTGCTAAGTATGTTTAAAGTCTTTAGGTCTTCTAAGTATAGGATCATACTGGCAGTTCTTTTCTACACAGAAATCCCTTTATTCTTTTTCCCTTTTTCTGATTTTATTCTTTTTTCTTTTCTTTCTTTTTTTTTTTTTTTTTTTTAATTTTTTTTTTTTTTTTTTTTTTTTTTTTTTTGCTACGGGGGATAGAACTTGGGTCCTTGAGCTTGCAAGGCAGGTGGCAGAACCACTGAGCTAAATCCCCGGCCCTATGATTTTTAAAGTGAGTCATTATGCAGTCAGTCACACAGAATGCGAGAGAGCAGAACTGCGGCATGTTGGCGATCACCTGTCTGACCGTCTGCTTGACGACCCCAGGCAGGGCTGGGCCTCTTTTCCCTGCCCTCTCGAGGTTTCTGGATCCTGCTGAACTACACCACAGGCTCCTTCACATGGCCTTGTGAACCTGTGCTCAGGTTTCACTGTGAGGGGGCTGCCAAGGGCCAGCTTCCGATACATGCTGCACCCATGTTCCCAGTGTGATCTGTGGCTGCTGTGGAGGCAGCAGGGTGGGCTCTGGGCATTCCTGCACCCTCCAGGGTCCACAGTCCAGCCCCCCATGGGCCGCTGTGCCCAGGGCCCCGTGTGAAGCTGCAGAGCAGTGTTTTGGGCTTTGGGGTCCGGGCTAGAGAAACGTTCTGTCAGAGGTATCCTTAGGCTGCAGATGGGAACTCGGGGAGGGGCTGTTCCCACCCCCACAGATGGCTCTTGATCTCTCACCCTGATTTTCAGCCTTTCCCCAGCACACGTGAACACTGATGGTAGACTGGCCAGTGTCTCCATGTCTCCAGTCATTGGATGTCGGCTTCACCATCAGGACCCCTGCATGGGGCAGGGGCCTTAGGTCACCTGTCACATCAGGCCCGCCTGCTCCACCCCATCTGGCCAGAGACCAGCTTCTCCTTGGTGAAGCCCTTGACCCGGACACTCCCCCGAGTGCTGTAGCTGAGATCAGGAACACAGAATGGGCCTGGCAGCCTGTCCTTAGAGGGATACGTGTTGCCATTGCCTACATTCAGTGACCTGCCTGCCAAGGACAGCCTGGATGCCAGGAGACCCAGGAGCCATCGGCTCCCCCACTGATGGCCAGCACGCTCATCCAGGGCCCTGCTTTCCAGCCTCTCTCCCACCAAGGGGGCAGCCTGAGAACCCTGAGCTGACCAGGACTGCCAGCTGGGTGACGGCTGCTGACAGTGCATGGGGGCCGTCCGCTCTGGGGCAGACAGGGAGATCAAGACTCCCACCCTACCCTAACCCTAACCTCTAATCCATATACCTAACCCTAATTCCCTAAACCCTAATCACAAAAGCTAACCCTAACCCATATCCTCAGCCATACCCTAACGGGTACCCTAAGCCCAATCCTAACCCCTAACCCATACCCTAACCTTAACTGATAACCCTAACCCATGCTTCTATCTGTAAGCCCTACCCCAGCCCTAACCCATACCTTGGGCTCCCAGAACTCTGCTCTGGGCTTGCTTGTGATGCAGCACAAGGTGCGCATGTGTGGGACTGAGCCATGTTGGACCCCTGTGGAATCAGGGCTGGGCCAGCCTGGTGCTCGGTACCCACTGGATGGAAAAGCAGGGCTGGGGTGTCAGGGACCCCACTGATGGCAGCTTCCCTGTGATGGAGAGCATTATGGAGCAAGTTGTGTCCCATGATGTATGTGGCTAGGGATAGGGTCTTAGGGAGGCCATCAAGAGGGCCCCCATAGAGCTTCCTTATAGGAAGGGAGAGGATGGGTACATGGGGGATCCCTGTGAGGACACAGGGTGCTGCCCACAAGCCAAGGAGAGTGGCCTCAGGTGGCCAACAGTCCGCTCAGGTTCCTGCCCAGCAGCCCTGTGTAGCTCCTGTTGTGCGTTGGTGTGTGGCTCTGTCCCTCCCTCCCTGCCAGGGCCTGCCTGGGTAGCAGTGGAGTCTCTTCCCATAGCCGTCTCTGCCAGGCCTGCTGCTCCCCCTCTGTTGCCACCTGAGCCCTCCCTGGGGCCCCGGCTCCTCTGCCTCTGTCTGTTGCTGAGCAACCAGAGCATTCTGGTCCCCCTGGACTAGATGGTGCATGGTGGGGCAGTGCCACCTTCCTGGGCAAGCTGAGGCCAGGCCACACCAACAAACTGGTACAGTTGCTGGTTTAATCTCCCCAGGGCTTGGGGAGGGTCGGAGAGGCCACACTAGCTGCATGGCCAGCTCTGCCCCCGCCATTGGCTGCTTGTGCCTAGTAGCCTGGGGGTCTCACAGAACCGCAGGGACCATGACTGGTGTGCCCGGTGGTCCTTGTTCTGGGACGTGGGAAGGTGTCCATTGCTGGGGACACACTGTCTGGGATGATGCCTTCCTCAGGATGGAGCTTTGGCTCTCATACCTGGGCGGCCTGGCCACTGATACTGTGCGCACAGGATGAGACGTAAGGCCCCTCCCACTGGCCTGCAGGATGAGGGGGTCACTGAGCGACCCCCGCCTTTCCTGCAGCAGCTTTGGCTCATGCCTGGGCGGCCTGGCCACTGATACTGTGCGCACAGGATGAGACCTAAGGCCCCTTCCACTGGCCTGCAGGATGAGGGGGTCACTGAGCGACCCCCGCCTTTCCTGCAGCCTGGACCCGGGGACCTGCACCCAGAGCCTGGTGCAGACGCAAACTGAGGCCCACGGCCAGCCACTGCCTGGGGCCCCCTGGGACAGGAGACTCCAAGCCTTGTGTGTGCTGGGCTACAGTGGAGCCCAGCTGGTGCCCTGCCACTCTGGACCTCCATGGGCAGGGACTAGGGGTGCCCAGGGGCCATGGTGCAGGCAGGGTTTATTCCAGCATGTCCAGACGTGTTCTGGCTTCTGTGGCTACTGCCAGAAATCCAGGTCAGAAGTCCTGGCTTAGAGATGAAGCCACTCTTGACTGGGCACCATCGACCTCCTTTCTCACAGGATCTGGACCCATGGGCCCACGGGGCAGCCCTAGGACAGAAGGTGGAAGCAGGGTGGCCCCAGGGTAGGAAGTGGGGCCCCCAAGCCAGGAAATGGGGCTCTCAGAACCACCCTGCAACAGTCTGTCCTCCCAGAGGTCCCAGCAGCAGGAGATGGGGTGTAGAGTGTGGCCCAGGGTTGAGCAGAGTGGCTGTGGCCCTCTTGGGAGGGGCCGAATGGGCAGAGGAGCACTGGCGGAGGGGCACTGGGGTTGCCACACCTCCCCATCCTTCTGGCCACCAGTTGGCAGTTTTGATGCCATTACTGCTATGTGGGTCCGGCACTGGGAGAGCCGAGTCCCACACTGGACAGGGCCAGGTGGTGAGGAGCCCCCTGAGGGTCCCTGTCTCAGCCAGAGCCTATACTGCATGAGGGTCCCCCTTATTCCTCATTTCACGGTTAAAAGCCGCCATGTCCCCAGTGACCTGTCAGTAGCAGTCTCCATGGAGAGCTGGGACACAGCCGTACCAGGTGTGTGGCCCCTAGCTCTGCTCTTACTTGTGCTATTTGATGTCACTACCACATTCCACTCTGGTCCGGTGCTGGAAAGCACCAGGGCTGGGCTGCTGTCTTTTCCTCGAGGACCTATTCCATTCTGCCCACGAGGCTTGGGCTGCAGCCCTGTGGGGACCATGCTGACCACTGTGGGTGCCCCCTGGTGACCCTGCTGTGGTGTCACACATCCCTGGCATCCCACCCAGCATCTGCCAATTCTGTACACATGGTGCTCCGGTTCCCTTTCTTCGTGGTAAAGTATCTACAACAGAGTTTACCATCTAAGGTGGGCCCCGAGAAAGCTGAGGCCGAAGGATGGCTGGGGCCCACCTTGAGCGCACCTTGGGAGGTTGGGAAAATGGTGGGATTCCCTCCAGTCTGAGAGAGATGGCGAAGGAGAGCGTGAATATGAATGATCACTTGGAGCACCTTGAAGTCGACCTTTACTAGACATGTGCAGCTTCCTCCCAGTCTCTGAGCACCGCCATGGAGTTCTCTCAGGAAAGCAGAATCCACTCAGGGGCTTTCTTTTAAATTTTAATTTAAAAATTTATGTGCAGTGCTGAAATGGAAACCAGGGCCTTGCCAGGCACCGAAAGGGCCTGCCTCTGAGTGCTCTTACCATGTGGGCTGGACCTGGGGGGCTCCATGGCCTTGGGGTTCTGGGTGGCCCTGAAGCCTTGATAGTGCAACCTGATACCTGGGGCCTGCACAGGCTGGGGGAAGACTGGACTCCCACCCCAGGCAGCCTCCAGACACTGTGGTGCCTGCTTCATGCTGGCCCGCACCTATGCCCTCCTTTTGAGGTTCCGCAGAAGCCCCAAACATGAGGCAGAGGATACTCCAAAGCGGCTACGGTGAGCCTCCTGCCCTGCCAGTGCTGGGAGATAACACGTGGCCCTGTCGGTGACCCTGTGGGCTTCCTCACTGTCCTCTGCAACCTGGAATCTGCCCTGGACGCCAGTGCTGGGGTCACCCAGCATTTCCTTTAGTTGCTTCTGTCCAGCCAGTGGGCAGAGTCCCCAGAGGTTTCTGTGTTTGAAAATCTCTTGGTCAGGGAGAGGGGGCCGGCAGTTTGGGGATCACTGCGGGCACCCACCCAATCACCCTTGTGGGGCAGGTGGCCAAGTCAGCAAATAGCAGCACAGGTACAAGACAACCTCAGTTCCCGACAACACAGATAACCCATTCTAAGCTGTGCAAGGCCTACACCACACTCAAGGGAAAAACAGTGCGGTTTACCAGACTCACACTGAGGAGGTGCCCTTGGTGGCACCCTCTGATGGCAGATATAGCAGATTGTTTCTTAGAACATGGGAGGACATGTGGGGGCAGCGAGCGTCAGTGGAGGGGCCTGGAGTGTGGGCCCTGGCTCTGTGGTGACCAGGCCTCTGCCAGAAAGGGGCCACACAGCTTGGGCTTCCTGAGCGGGAGTGAGGGGCAGCTGCCCTGGGCCCTGGGCCACCCAGAGCAGCGCAGCTGGGGGCTCAGCCCAGCCGCCACCCATCCGGAGGTACCTGGGGCCAGCTCTGCTTGCAGTGAGGACGACAGTGCCAGCATGGTGAAGGGGCCTCCTGGGCATCCTCAGGCCTGCGGTGGCTGCTAGCTGTGCAGGGCTTCGAACATGTTTCTGTGACAAACGGCGGAGAGCGAGACCACTCAGCAGGGTGTGACGCCGCGAGGCACAGACTTTACCCACCTGGTGCAGGCCGGCTGAAGGCGAGCAACCTGTCAGCGCCAAACAAAGAACAAGCAGGGGTTTTCATAGGCGATGGGGAGGGGTCTGGCCCGTCTGGCACATGCAGGGGTCCGAGCCAATATCGGTGGTCGGTTCCGTGCAGCAGCCAAGGCAGATGTGAGCACGTCGTCGGATGACTCGGCCTGCAGACGCTGTGCTGTCCTTTGTGGCCATACCTCCTTTCTGTGACACCGCTCTGTTCTGTGTGCGAGGACACAGCACAGCCTGTACGTAGGTGGAGATGGCAGGACGTATACCTGGTCTTTAGCCGCCTGGAGGAATGGCGTGTCTTTGCTGAGGGCTGTCGTTTTTTTGTATCTGCTCAAACTATAACTTAGAAATAAACAACACATTTATTAACCAGCTCATGGCCAGATCAGGCCTGACAGTTTCCAGAACCTTCCCTGCAGCTCACAAACGGGATGGGCAGCTGCACAAGGTCTGTGGGTACTCGGCTCCGGGTGCCCATGTCTGAGGTCCCAGGGCCTCCTGCTGGTGTGTCTCCACAGACACAAGGGCATCCAGACTGTACACTCACGAGCAGGAAGCCCTGACCGAGGAGGAGAGGGGACCGAGCACCTCGCCCTCTGGTCCAGTGGGATGAGCAGAGGCCACAACAGTGCTCTGTCACAGCCAGCCCTCAGTGGGTTTAGGCTGGTGTGGGGCTCTGGAAAGTGCAGGGGATTCTGGGTCTGTCACTCAATGTGGCTACAGGAAAGCCACCCGCAGATGACTCAAGTCCAGCGAGTGCTGTTTTGGGTGGTTCCTGTGTCATTGCTGAACCACATCAAGAAATAGTGTCCTGGCAATAGTGTCAGGGGCTGCATCGTGGGCCGGGCTCCCCAGAGGCCTGATCAATCCTGAGGCCCAGGTCGATGGCTTCATCCGTGGAGCATGGGGGGCGCTGAACTCACCTGTGGGGCAGGTGGCTTCTGTGTGTGAATGTGCGTGCGTGTGTGTGTGTGTGTGTGTGTGTGTG